TGAAGTTATACTTATCAGTTTTGCAAGACACAGACATATTTCAAATGTTTATTCATTTTATTTTGATGATAACTGACAACTAATGAAAATCCCAAATTCAGTATTTCAGAAAATTTAAACATTACTTAAGACCAATACAAAAAATGGATTTTTAGAAATGCTGGTCAGCAGAAACGTATGAACATGTAAAGTATGAGCATGTACAGCACTCAATAGATGTGGCGAGGTAGGGAGTCCATCAGTCTGTGGCACTGCTCAGGTGTTATGATAGCCCAGGTTGCTCTAATAGTGGCTTTTAGCTCTTCTGAATTGTTGGGTCTGCTGTATTGCATCTCCCTCTTCACAATACCCCATAGATTTTCTATGCAGTTAAGGTCAGGCGAGTTTGCTGGCCAGTTAAGAACACGGATACCATTGTCCTTAAACCAGGTACTGGTAGCTTTGGCACTGTGTGCAGGTGCCAAGTCCTGTTGGAAAATGAAATCTGCATCTCCATAAAGTTRGTCAGCAGCAGGAAGTGCTCTAAAACTTCCTGGAAGATGGCTGTGTTGACCTCGGACCTCAGAAAACACTGGATCAACACCAGCAGATGATATGACCCAAACCATCACTGACTGTGGAAACTTTACACTGGACTTCAAGCAACGTGGATGAAGTGCCTCTCTTCTTTTCCTCCAGACTCTGGGACCTTGATTTCCAAAGGAAATTCTAAATTTAATTTCATCAGAGAACATAACTTTTGACCACTCAGCAGCAGCCCAGTCCTTTTTGTCTTTAGCCCAGGTGAGACACGTCTGACTCTGTCTCTTGTTGAAGAATGGCTTCAGGAATGTGACAGCTGAAACCATGTCTTCATACGTCTGTGTGGTGGTTCTTGAAGCACTGACTCCAGCTGCAGTCCACTCTTTGTGAATCTCCCCCACATTTTTGAATGGGTTTTGTTTACAATCCTCTCCAGGACGCGGTTTTCCTTATTGCCTGTTCACTTTTTTTTACCATATCTTTTCCTTCCCTTCACCTCTCTATTAATGTTCTTGGACGCAGAACTCTGTGAACAGCCAGCCTCTTTAACAATGACCTTTTGTGTCTTACCCTCCTTGTGCAAGGTGTCAATGGTTGTCTTTTGGACATACTGTATGTTGAGTCAGCAGTCTTCCCTATGATTGTGTAGCCAGAACTAGACTGAGAGACCATTTGAAGACCTTTGCAGGTGTTTTGAGTTAATTAGCCAATTAGAGTGTGGCACAAGGTGTCTTCAAAATTAAACCTTTTCACAATATTCTAATTTTCTGAGATACTGAATTTGGGGTTTTCATTAGTTGTCAGTTATAATCATCATACATCAATCACCATTGTGATCTGTACTCCATGATAAACTGGCCTTCTCTTCATTCTTGCAGATCTATTCACTGGTTCATGTTCATTTACAAAATCCTCAATGGAAAAATGCCAGGTTACCTACAGGCACTTCTCACTGTTCACAAACAAAATSGTAGTCTATGTTCTACTGACCACATCAATCTCCTCATACCAAAAGCACATACTGTCTTTGGACACTCCTCATTTCAGTTCTCTGCTGCAGTTGACTGGAACCGTCTGCAACGAACCTTAAAACTGGACTCATTCATTTCACTATCCTCATTTAAAGGTGACATATCATGCTAAATGCACTTTTTTTGCATTTATAAACTATTTTTATGCAATTATAGTGTCTAGGACTGTAGAAAACTTTAATTTATTCTGTCCAGTTACTGCAAAGATATTTTTATATTTTTTATGGGTCAATTTTTTCACTTTGTTCAAAATCTGCTGTTGCTTATTTCGTTTCGTTGTTTATTTAATCACACTTTTTTCTTTGGAACTACCATTTATGGTAATGTATATCCGGCCAACTGGATTTCATAGTCTGCCATTTTTTTCCTCACTGTGTGATTTTGTAGTTCATAGCGTCATGCCGAATATGCAAGTTCCGAAGTCAAAATGTTCAGTTCTGGGGTGTGTAAACCCACATTATTATCTATAGACTACCAGCGTCAGAGCTTCTTCAAAGTGCCTGATTAAGTTTTATTTTTCAAGGAAATGGACCCACAACAGGGCGGAAAGTGCTTGCGGACAACACAGGATGAATGTTACAACAACAAGCTTGAGTTATGAATTGTAAATGTGTTTTATTTGTCTAATTTAGCTGTTCTACCCTCTGTGTCGGAATATGAGGGGAGAAAGAACAGCTGTGTTTAAGTTTCTTTACCAAACAGGTGCTCAGCACCATGTTGTTTTACTTTCACTTTCGCCCCGCACTGTAATCAGCGTGTCTGTGTTGTTTTTCTTTTTAAAAATGCTGGAGCGTTTCAAACTGTGATCTAAAGTTAACGTCAGCTGCTTTAAATGCATTTTTTGCCTGGTGTTAAAAACGGGAGCAGCAGAATGAGGCAGAGAAGCTGTGAGCACTGTGTGTGTGTGAAGTCTCATAAGGATAGCAAGATGGATGTGTGTGTCTCCTTTTTTCTCTGTGTTGCTGTTTTTGCATCAAAAAAGCTGGGAACATAGTCATTTTATGTAACAAAATATATTAATCTTATTAATACACAAATAAAAACAGAATATTTAGCACTAGATAAAATAAGTAATGAATTTATTTATTTATTTTTAAAGAAAGGGCTGAAAGAAGAAATCCTGTGTGGCAGCACTTTATACAGCCTCATCAGACAAGGCTTAGTTAATAAATGTTTTTTTTTTGTTTTGTTTTAAATTAAGACTTGTGTAACATTTGTTATCATTTTTATTTTTATGATGTTAATGGAGGGCGGAAGAAAAAGGTGTATCGGCTTCAAGAATCGGCCAAAAAATAGCTGCAGTGTTGTTTTAGTCACTCTGAATTTATGGTTGTTTTTTTTTGTGTTATTCAAAATACTGTGTATTAGATGAGTTTTAATGGTGCAACTTCAAACTAACATATAATATTCTTTTATGCTATTTTAACCAGACTGTACCTGGCTACAACGCATTTCAATGAAAATACATGTCTGCAGGCAACTACCTCATCTGGAGAGCCCATGAAGATTATTCTTTCCCATGTTCAAGAAGGGAGAAGGCACAGCAAAGCGCATCAGAACTCCTGAAACCCTAAGTAAGTCTTACCACATTAGTCACTTTTAGTATGCCAATTTGATTTCAATAAATCAAAATCATCCATACTTTAATTATATCTCCCTTATTCAAAGTCGTGTCACAAGGGCATGTGATGCGTGAAAGTGTTGAATGAGAAACTTTTCCTCACAATGTTAAACAAAAATTACAAAAATAAGTGACACTTTACTGTTTCTACTATGCAAAGACTGTGTACATTTTAATGTTGTTGATGTTTTCCAGACTGCGCTGTGGATTCATCTCCAGTTGTCCCAGACAAGGCCAGCATCTCCACACCACCTCCTGATGCACGCRTCTTCACTACACGTCCTGATGCCACATCTTCACACCACCCTCTGCACCACATCTAAACTCAGTCCACACCCATTGGGAGGGCCCTTCACAACAGGATCACACATACTTCCAGACATCTCACAGAAAGGACATGCAGGACAAGATGACTCAGTGTGATGAGGTTGCATATTTGTGACCCATCATATCAAAATGAGGACTAAGTTGAATTTGGTCAAAATGACCTAATTACATTTTCAGATTCTTGGCTTTAAAAGCTACATTTTGATACCTGTATCATTCTGATATCATAATTAAATCCCTATATATGACTTAATTTGTCTTGTTGGTTACAATACAACATAAATATTTGGTCTGAATCCTAATTTGATGTAATTTTAATGAGGAATTTTTGATGTCCTTTTAAAGAGGAAACCTCAAATTTTACTTGAATATTGAGATTTCCCAGCTAAAAAAACAACACTTTGAAAGCTCACGGGGAAAATCTTAAAAATTTAAGGCGTTTTTCCTCAAAATCAGTTTTTTTTTTGTTGCTACTGTTTAAAATAGTGCTTCAAAATTTTGTTTTATGATTATGTTTCAGACAGTTCATTCAACTGATACATTGATAACGCTTTTGTTCATTATATTTTTGACAAAATGCAATTTTTTTTAACATTTTAGTCAAAACACTGTATTTGCCTATTTCTCCATACACCACTTTTGGACTTAATCCTTGTTTCGATGTGATGGGTCACATTTCATTCTACAAAAAAATTCAGGATTTTTTACTGTGTTCTGTGTACTTTTAAACTTCAATTTTTGTCATAAAAACATTTCACTGCAAGTTGAACTTTGTGTATGTGATAAATTTATTTGATTTGATTGCTCCTATTTTTATCTTCTGTTGCTAACATATTTTATGAAGGCAATGCATTCCACATACAGAAAAAGCTATCGAACATTTATAATTTCGCATTTTAGGTAAAAATGATTTTTATCAAAACCATGACTGTAATTTGACACTTTTTTATTGTTTATCAAGGAGTGATACATCATCTTGTCACTTTCTATTTAGTGTTTTCTGGAGAAGGAAAAGTGGCTGAATTTGTGCTTTGCTAACACCATCTCTGAAGTCTTTGTGTGAAAGATGATGAGGTGT